AAAAAAAAGAAATTTTTAGCTCAATAAGTACAAATATGGAAATGCATCGAGAGGAGGAATAGAAAGAGCAGAATATTTCAAAAACTACTTGGCAAGCAAAACGGAAGACATTCTGGAGATTATTGACCACTAAAAAATCTCACTAGCAATATATACTTTATATTTTAAACATAGTTTTGGCCAATACAATACACCACTAGGCACTTCTACTGTCAGTACTGTGAATATGAGTAACTGTTTGTAGCACCGTCAATCCACGGTCGCATCATTGTCGGTGTCCTCGCATAAGTCCCAGCAGCCAAAGATCGAGACGTTATGGTTACTGGCGTAGTTGCAAATCCACTAAAAATAACCGATATTTTGTTGCAAGAGGTAGCCAAAATTTCCGCATTGAACACGGCACATCACTTTAATGTTATTTTTTTGAAAGTACCATAAGAAAGTGCAACTGTTAAGAAAGGTAACTTGAAAATGCAACAGACTCCTCAGCGTCAATAATTTCCGGAGAAATTGAATAATTGAAAGCCATACAGGTGACTAGATTAAATTAAGTGAAGCATTGTTCAAAAACTGTTGAAAAACCTGTAAAAAGACTGCAAATTTTTGTTGTTTGAAGAGTGTCTTCGAATCATGATCAAAATAATGATCAAGCATACAACCAGAATTGCAGCGAGGCCAACAATGAGGAAAAACACCGACCGCGATATTCCACTTTGAATTTCGCAACGCTCAATGCTTCTGCTGCTCACTTAAACAGTCGTTATTTAAAGCTTTAGGATTCGTACTTGTGTCTGTTAGTCTTCAGATCATTTCTGGGTTACAGTAGTGCTTTGAACTGAAGTAAAATGCCAAAAATTACTCACCCTGCAGTGTTTCGTATTTGTCAAGAACAGTAAACGGCTTTGTAATTGCAACCTCATCCACTTTAGCATCAATATCTGAATCTTCAAAGGTTCTTTCACGCTTGTATCGATATCGTAAACGCTCAGCTGTTAGAGTAGAATTAGACACTCTTTTGAAGCACTGCTAAAAGATGCAGCACCATTTTCTTATTGACGAAGGTAGAAGTCAAAAATAAACAGAAAGATGCTTGTAAAAAAACTTCTATAGGCTTTGTGGTTAGTGACGCTTCAAACCTGTGAACATTCTTCGCTGGTGAGGCAGACTTGAACAGTACAGTGTGCGAAAACTGTTGACTGATTGCCGAATCGAAACGTTTTAAACTTGGAAAAATATACCTCCTCGTTGACATTAGCCAAAGGTTCAATTAATTCACTCATTTCGTCCACGGGACAGCTGAATAATTAAACGTATAGTACTTCTGTTTTCCAGGATTGCTGGGTAAAATTTAAAAAGTGTTTGTAGTGATCAATTAGTTGATATTATTTTGGGAAGAAAATGCGAATGCCAATAAAACATGGGCAGCCGCAAACCTGCTTTGCACAAACGTAAGATGACGAGCTTCTGGAGAAGTCATATCTTCTCTGTCGGAAAACATGCACTCTTTTGGACTGATGCCATGGTAAGCTTCTGCAAATCAAAAGTTTCTGACATTTAATCTAAAATTAGTCGACAAATCACCTAAATGTCACCTAATGCTAATTGTGCAACAACAGAAATGGTTTTCTGCTTTAGGTAGATTATCTCTAAAAAGTGACATACTTGCTTATTAATCTATGAAAAGTTTTTTCAGTGAACAAATTATAATTCTGAAAAAGCCAGCACTAATACGCAGAAAAAAGTCACTTACTATCAGGTGAAAGCGCAACATAAAACTCAACAGTATCTCCGATTTTAGCAGCCCGAAGTGGTCGCCCATCTGTGCTTCGAAAGATCATCTCAACTTTTGGTTTAGGTTTACCACCAGTAGAAGCAACTACTTCATGGCCGCTAAAAATTTTCTGTATTCTGTAATAGAATGCTTTGTATAAATCTAGAAGTCAAACTAAAAAATTATCAAATTCTGAGAGGACAAGTAAAATTTATAAAATTATTAAAACTTTTTTTGACAACCTATTACCGTTAAACGGCTCCAAAAGCTATTTAGCGCCTTGCAGGATTAAAATTTAACTCACCTCGTAATATCATTGAATCTAATCGTTTGAATTTTTCTGGTATATAAGCAGAAGACATGGTTTACTCGAATAGTCTTTGATGAACTTAAATCCGCGTTATCTTCTAACGCAATTGTTGTCTCAGCGTTACGATAACTGGGTTCCTTAATTGGCAAAACGGCCTTTTAGACAACCTTTTTCATCAAAAATACATAGAAAGTTCAGA